ACCAATCAGAGCGCGTGCTTTACTTTGGTTATGTTATAATTTAAAATGTGATTCTAACGCCTCTGCTAGTGTATGTTATCATCATTTCTCTGTTTAACAACCTTTTAACACAAATTTTCCTTGTTACCCTAGTGCAAAAAGCTATGATAGTAGGTAGGCTAGGTAAGAGGTCCTCGCTTGAAATGTCAGAGGGGCGACAAAACGGCGATTCCATGACGGAAATAAGAGACATGTAAATTAGTAGCCTTGTATCTGCCATTGCGAACAACATTGTTAGCCTCGACTGGTCAGTAATTTTTGAATGAGACCATCATGCTTTCTTAGCAACCGGGCTGTCGGATATACTTTGTAAAATGAAAGATACGTTGTTGATTCCTGTCTACAGCCAGATTTAAAACAAAACTTTGGAATTGAGAGCCACTCGTTGGTCTATTTTTTTTTATTCTCGTTGTTCATCAGCCAGATGCCAGTCCTTCACGATAAATCTATTTTTCTCACTTCATATTTATATGTAAAAATGACGTTCTAACTTCTTAAAAAAAAGGTTTACTTCTGAATACGTATGTAGAAGTATCCATCCGAAGTATGTATTCCTCAGCATGGCGTCGTATACGTCACACGGTGTGTCCCAAACTCACTTCAACTGATGAATTTTATTTTACAGTGATTTTTTTAATCATACATTTTTGTCCTTGAGCAAAGAGCTCGAGAAAAGCTGCCCTTTTCCAGCTTTTCATTTGATCGTTATTTCAATTATTACCATTATTTTAATGATTACCAACATTATTGAAGAATAGTTGAGACGCCCGTCAAGAGGGAGCAAGAGTCACGCAGTCACGCATAACGGTGCCATTTGAGCCGGCTACCTAGGGCACCGGTCTCTAAATTTTCGTTTTTAATTATTGATCACATTCATAGGGATCTTGTAGAATCACGAAAGTGTCGGCTGAAGACTTCGACTGAGGTGAGTTGTTAAACACAAATGTAAAAATAAAAAATGAAGTTTAACATTTGTTACTCTCGTTTGAGTTCCACACGAGGATAAATTTCAAAGTACAAAGCTTCCGATTTTCTCGTTCGGATACTCTATTTTTTTTATATATACACACGTCTTTGGTATGCGATAAGTGTCCTGCATACGACTAGGCAAGGATCGGAGTTGTCGAAAGCGTGATTCTCGATGAAAAAGATGTAAAAAATAATTTGTCTTCTTTACCGCTGCTTTACCGTCACTGTGGTGTAATTGGCCGAAAGAAAATAACATGAACCGTGTAGCTTTACTTTAGCCTTCAGTTCAAATCTGTAATCTCTTTCAAGCGAATTTTTCTTACAAAATTGCAGGAAATACACAACTAAAAAAGGAGAGATTTCCGTGTAATCCTTTAACTATTCTAAAACAGAGCCGCGTGGTCTCTGAAGTCGCCATCGTTTTCTTTATCAAAGAATTATATCCATAGTAAATTATTAATGGCTCCCGAGAAACTTCCGACTAGTCGTCAAAATCTTAGAAAAGTGATTCTAAAGTGGACGCTCTTGGAGTTAGAATAGAATAGAATCTTTATTTANNTTAAAAATTTTACTAATGACTTATAAATATCTTAATCAACTAGCGCCATCCTAAGTGACCTCTTAATTCACTATAGACCATCAAGGACATTACATTCATCTGATAAAGAACCACTGGTAGCAAGCTTTTTCCTTCATTGCCCTAAAACTGTGGAATACCCTCGCATTAAGTATAAAACGTTGCAAGTCAACAGAATATTTTAAATCTACTCTTAAGATGAAGCTTTTTAGAAATTAGTTTGAATTGTCAGAATCATTAACTTTTTTTTAGGCCTTTTTCTTAATGTTACATCATTTACTGTTGTAAAGTGCTGTTGGTTCAGTAGAGAAACAATTCTATACAAGAAGATTATTATTATTACTATTATACATTGTAGTCACCATCTGTCTTCTCATTGGCTAAACGCCTACAGTTAATTCTGGGAAACAGCGCAACCTACAGATTATTCACCAATCTGTACTTACAGATTAGTGAATAATCTGTAGGTTGCGTGCGCAATGCATGATTTCCGGTGGAGCAATGTCAAGTTCATGGACAGTGAAGCAAGAATGGCTTCTTGCTTTGCTTCATTGACCCAGCGAGAAATTGAGAAATTACTTGAAGATAAAGATACGGAAAATACTAAAAGAATGTATAATAAAACAATTATCGGTTAGCGTTACCAGCCTCAGCCTTCGGCTTCGGTTGATAACACTTACCTCGACCTTGATTATTCTGGACGTCACAAAAACCTCATCCAATAATTGTTTATAATTACTCGTCCAATTAAAACTATTAATTATAAAACACATTTCTAAAGAACAATCTAATAGATTACAATTCCTAAAATGTAAGCTAAGTAAGAAACTAATACAATCAAACATAAATTTTTTAAAACTTTCACTTCTCTACTAATTCAAACTGACTAAAATGAAACACACACGATTCCCTGCAACTCTTGCAGGGAATCGTGTGTTTCATTTTAGTCAGTTTGAATTGTATTTCGCTCAACACTCACAGTGTATTGAGCACTTTCTAGCAGCATTTACGACAATTTCCCACAGTTACTTCTCTACATAAAAATATGTGTAATCAGTTAATCTTTTCCTAACCATTGAACCTCCTAAAGTTCTTGAAGTGATCATTTCTCCTGAGTAGTCTATGAAGTTTCATGAGGTCAATATTACCTACATTCTTGATATGATGGTCAACGAAGTCCCACATCCCTGAACCTTGATATAGTTTTTAATGAACCCAGTCAAACATTGCTCATGCAAATATATATTATTATTAAAAACTGGATCATTGGATAATGCAATTCAAGACTCTTTATTGGCTTAACCATTATGGTGTATGAGCCAATATACCATAATCTAATATCTGTGCATTATAACATCCGGTTTCTTGTTACAAAATAAAGTTGAGAAGATTTGTCTCATATCTAGGGGGCGTTTTTTTTTATAAAACAATTATTCCACTCGCGCTTGTTGGATACGAGATGATTATAGCCAACTCGGCGCTACATGCCTTGTTGGCTATTTATCATCGCACTCGTGGAATAATTGTTAAATATACAGAGAAGCCACCTGTGGAGATCTAAAATCTGGATATTTTTCCATTATACAACCACAGCATCTGGTCTTCTCTTGTCAGGTGCATGAGACACTGTCCACCTAAGGAAATCTTTATAGGCTGATGGTTCAAGCATGCTCAAGATTACCTTAGTTGGTTGGTCTTTCATGCACCTGAAGAGAAAGCCCCAGCACGCCCTTTTGAAACAGTTCTGTAGTGCAATGTTGTAATTCTCCTTTATCATTAAATGTATACATACATACAGGTTTAAAATGACTATATGTGAAAAACCTTGCTTAGACTTTAACTCAGAGACTATTGGACAATTTTTCCAGTTCTTTAGGCAAACAACTTCTGATATCTATATATAGGTCCAACAGGTGCAAAACTTAAATGTTACATTTATTTTGGCACCAGAGAGATAGACAACTAATGGTCAGCCAATCACGTAACTGATACATCAGCAGAGCCTTATTCAAAGGTTACATTACTTTTTCTATTTCACAATACTCTAGGATAAATATTATGAATCAGCAAAAAGAAGCACCTTTTACCAGAAGAGCTCTGGAGAGAGTCAGTGAAGCTAACTCAGAGGAATATGAATTTTCCATTGTCACCTACAACATCCTTGCTGACTACTGGATACTGCAGAATTCATGGAAAGAAGACTCTTACAGCTATTGCCCAAAGGAATACATGATCAGAACAAAGGGAAGAGCCTCACACCGTCATATACTGCTTATGGCTGAGGTACAAAAAGCAGCATCAAATTTTAATATTTATTGACTCACAGAAAGCTTGTTATCTTGAGCAGACTAATATTAATTCCTTGCCAAATAAATAAATAAACAAGAAATAAACTTCACAGAATACCAATGACAGAATTCTACAAATGCTGAATGTAACTTTTATCTTGTATAGTATAAAGTTATGCATGTTACTTCATGATTTTGAGTGTGAAAAATTATGAGCACTTAATTTATAATTTTTAATGTCTTCCAAAGGTGTGTGCACAGAATGTATCTACATGTATTTCAAAGTTTGTGATTGCAGGGTGAAATGGGTTACTGCTCTTAATTACAGAGTAAGGGAAAGGAACTGATGTGGGTTCTTGTTCTTCAATGTTGGAGGGTTTTCTGTGGAAACCCACCAACAATCTCCCTGGTAACCTACAAACCCCATATACACAACTACTTTAAATTTATGTGCAGTTATCTTAAAACTTAACCATGGAATCTAACATCCCATCTTTGGTACCATTTTCCCATGGTGTAAAAGTACAATAAAAGCCTGCATGTAAGAATTGGGGTATTTACTGACAACTTCGGCAAAACAGGGTCTTAATAGGTTCTTAAAATATCTTTAATGAAAATGCTATTAAATAATTATTAAAGTCCTACTGCGACCAATAATGCACCTTTTCTTTTCTCCTCAGAGGTTGAAAGTACTTACCCTAAGTAACAAATTTGCCAAATCTTATGGCAAAACTCCACCAAGAAGTAATATTATTTTCCCTGTAGATTCGTGATCTAAACGGCCGCCATTCATCGAACTACAGAACTCCACGCGAAGAAGAAACTAGGTTGAGAACGGAAGTGATGTCAACGACTCAACAAGTGTGGCTAATTTGGTATGCTGAGAGAGAGTTGTTTTTCTGGTTCCGCAGGAAAGGAATAAAATTCGAAAGAATTGTTCCCCAGCTTTCTTTTGTGTATTTCTTGTAAAGGCATGCCTTCGGGAAGTTGTCGAAGTGAGTCGATGATGTCTCTACTAAAACCYGTGTAGTTATTTTAGCGGGCTCTCCAGTGTGTTATTCGAGCAATGGCGGAAGAATTTTTAATGTCTTCGTGGCGCTGTTTTTAAGGAATAACGTCAAATTTGAAAAACTTATGCTTATTCTTATAGTTTAGGGTCTAAATGTGAAGTTAACACCAGAAAATTGGGAAAATAAAATGCAAAAATCTCATTGCAGTAGCACTTTAAATTAATTAATTATAAAATAATAAATAAATAAACTAAATTAATTAATTAAATTATTAACATGTTTTATGGAAGTATCAGATGTCTAGAAAACATTTATTTTATAGTTACAGACATATTTTGCTACAACATTGTTTCATTATCCAGAATGACTCTTCATATAAGAACCATGCAGGTTTTGCTGGGTAAACAGTTTCTTATATTTTTGGGTATTAAAATCCAAAATTTCTGCCAAAAGGTTCTTAATTACCAGGTTCTTACATGCAGGTTTTCACTGTACTTAGTAGTTTGACTTTATTTACAAATTTTGAGTATTTTTACTTATTGTGGTACTTGTGGATATTTGTTTTGTGAGTGTTTTATTTGCTGCTCCCGTAATGCATGCATCAAATGATTTTCATATTTCATACTTACTTGTTAGATAATGTCTGTTTTGCAAAACAAATTCTTTTCTTTTCAAAAGCCATTTATGTACTTGTGAGTCAAAATTTTCACCAGTCCCACCAAAAACAATTTTTTTCTTTATCATTTAGCTGAGATGGCTTGACAGTGATATCATCTGTTTGCAAGAGGTTGATACATCCTACTTCAGAGAGATTCTGAAGGGGGATTTATCTGAGCTTGGCTATGAAGGTCTTTTTGCAGAAAAGTGTATGGGAATCCCAGAAGGGGAGGCGTTGTTTTTCAAGAAAAACAAGTTTCACCTCCAAGAAACAAAGACAGTTCATTTGAATGACATGGCAGAGTGCACCTTTAAGCAAGCTGAAATACCTCAATTTTGGGAGGTTGTTTTACTTGCCACATTGAGGCATAAACTTAGCAATTCTCTCCTAGTGTTGTGTGAGTTTCTTCTTTGAATTCATGAAAATATGATATCAGCATAACTGATATGACAATAGTTACATCTAAATTTATGATAATAACATTAGTAGCGATGACTGATATTAAACTGATAGGAATTGTTATGAGTTTCTTTTTATAATTCCATTCAATATTTAGTCCTTATTAACCGAGCGGGAGGTCTGTGTGGGAAAATCTTGACCGAGGTCGCCAGTAGAGACTGAACGCAGTGAGGTCTGTACCAGCGACCGAGGTCAAGATTTAGTTCTTATTAACCGAGTGGGAGGTCTGTATGGGAGAATCTTGACCGAGGTTGCCAGTACAGACTGAATGTCATGAACACAGCTACTGGTACATGTAATACACAGGCTGTACTAAGTAATGACAACATTTCCTCCTTTTGCCTTCCTTAATGATACCACTAGCCTAATTAATCCCCTCTTTTGCCTTAATCTTGAAGGTGTAACACATATACGATGGGGAAATTTGCAAGAAACTGTTTCTCAAGCATGTCAAATAACAATGGTCACCAAAGCCCTCTATGACATGGTTTCAACACTGCAGGAATCTCAAGGTAATAGAGTGGCTTACATTCTTTGTGGAGACTTCAATATTGAGCCTCAATTTCCTGCCTATAAGCTTCTGGCCGAGGGAAAACTGACGGACAAAGAGATTAATACTCTGAAAGGCTGTGATTACATAAGATGGGGTAGTGACACATACATGGAGAAGGCATTGCAGGTATGCAGCTGTATATCAATCGAGATTGGACAAACCAGGGAATTGTCACACTGAATTGATTAATTACTGCATAAAGTACAAAAATAGCAAATTCAGATGCTAGATATCAAAATTTCAATCAAAAGAAACTCTGACGTTGGCACCAAACCAAACAAGCAGAAAACATGAGCAGCCACACTAGTTAACTATTGTAATTTTGGGCATAAGGTGACCTCCCTAAAATTCCTTCTCATTAGCAGCCTTAAAAAGTTAAAAGGTATAAAGGTGATTTCAAAACGGATATACGAACCACATAATTCATTCGTAACTAGTGGTTTCTGAGACAGAACTTTGTTAAATTACGCTAAAGGTAACTACGGACGATAAAATGACACCAAAATGAAATAAAACCAGCGAATAGTCTGTTTTACAGTTGTGTGCTTGGTTGCCAAGCCTTTGAATGGGAGTGAGGCTAGGGATGACCTTGTTATGATACAAACCTTGCTGCCTTTCAAATGTAAATCACTTTGTTATCATGCTAACTAGATACAGGTCTCTATCACAACAAGGTCATCTTTAGCCTCACTCTGAATCAAAGGCTTGGCAACTAAGTACACAACTGTAAAATGGCCAACGTAAAACATACCTAACGGTTTGGATATCTAAATGGACTCGAGAAAGCTAAATACCAACGCGAGGGGACTGAAGCCTAGTATGCAGTTGGACCACTGGTCCTTTGTTGTAACAGACGTTCTTAATATAATGACTTTCTCCCATGTGTCATACCATACAGCTGTCACCAGATCAAGTGGCCCTTTTACACAGGACTGAAGCACAAATCAACAATCCACTTGTTGACTTACAAAGTGCCTACAAGAACATAATGGTAAGTAATAGTTGTAAAATGATTGTTAACAATTTCACAACTAAATTGATTGTTGTTTCTGAAATTACCCTGAAGAAATTAATGCATAGTTGTGAAATACCCTGCCACCTAATGCAGAGGACCATCTTGTACATGTGGTTTCAAGTTAGCATGCAAACATTCAATCATTATGCAAACCATCAATTTCTTTATTAGGACATACATTTACTGTATCTCAAAACATAATCATACTTAAATGAATGGCCTAAACTCTAGGGTGCAGAACCTCGGTGTACTAACCATGAAGGACCTGAATGTCTCTGGACTCTGGACTATATCTGGTTTGACTCAAGGTCCCTAGAGGTCACTGCAGCTTTAGAGACAGTTTCACCTTCTGCTATTGAGCCATACACTGGCCTGCCCAATGAGTATTTTCCATCAGATCATTTGTCACTTAAAGCATACTTCAAGTTTGCCTCTAGTCGTGAAAAACAAGAATGAGTTTCAACAGAGATCTTGCACGGAGTAGACGATTGGCTCAAAATATATTTGACTTATCTCATATTTTCAGATGAAGAGGCAGGTATCTTTGAGATTTGAACAGGATTAGGCTAATTTTTTTTTTAACTTTGGTTTTCCTTTATATACAAATCAGTTTGTTTCTTGCAAGATTATTTTAAAGTGAGAAAATCTTAAGTGCAGTTTAATTTGGTCTTACGGATATTTTTGGATTCTTAAATTTAACAATAATTATTCATTGACCTAAATATAGATATGATGAAAAAAAAAAGTCAGCTCAAAATCTTCAAATACAGTGAGAGGGTTGCAGCCAAAAATCGAATATAGACCACTTTCATAAATGGCTGCCGGATTAATATTCGTTTGTTTAAATTTAGATTAGCCCTACTGGCCTCGTTCTCAAGTACAAAATTCAAAAGAAACATTATCTCAAGCGAGGCCAGAAGGGCTAATTTAAATTTAAACAAAAGAATATTTATACGGCAGCCATTTATGAAAGTGGTCTATATCCCGTGTATTTCAGTGCTTTTGATTCGCTTTTCGCAGGGAACGACTTAAACTAGGTTCTCTCTCCATGTTTCCCAGTATTCGGTGTTCGTTGAAAAGTACTTTTCGAGCGCCTCTTTCCACAGGGGACCCAGACAAGCGACGAGTCTGGGCTCCCTGTGCTCTTTCATGGCACTCCTGCCGGGCATCGGCGCCACTCCAAGAGTTTCCCGCGGCGCGCTAACAGCAATTTTTCTTTAACTGATTTATTTTTGAATCGCGCGACGGACTTCGCCGAAAAGGAGGAACTGCCCGCGGTTTACTTATGTTAGTACCAAGGTTATTTAAAATAGCCATCGAACCAGAACAATTTTTGTCTCGCCGTGTCCGTGAGCAGCTGACAGCGTCTTGGGCACTCATTTTCTTTCTCACTCCCCAATCCACAGGTAACCCAGGCTCACTGTTTGTGTCACGTACACATGGTTAAATAGAGAGAACATATGGGGCGAAGTTTAGGTCTGGAAATTTGCTTGAAAATGGAAATAAAAAACAATGAAACTTACCATGTGGCGATTTGTTGTTGTCCTTAATATGTACACGAAGTTTCGGGAAAAATACTCTTCTTCACCTTTCCTTCATAGTAGAGAGACAAGGAAGGAGACTGACGGCAGGGTCGGGGATCGATCGACCCTCAATCCAGCACATTTTTTTCGCGAAAATCCAATCCAGTCGCCAAATAAACACGCCGGGCTCATAGAACAAGAATAACTCAACGTCCGACTACACCCTCGGGAATATTGGCCAGAATCCATTCTTTCCCAACAGCCAATCACACACCGAGATGGATAGAAAAAATTGAAATCCATTAAGTTTCCCCTGCAACGGTTTCATGTTAAAAAATGTCGTTCTCGAAGAGTTTCAAAAGGTCACTGGATGACCAAAATATATCGAGACCGTCAAAGAAGAAGAATCGAATTTGTGTGTCTTTGTGCGCTGCAGTTAAAGCATGGTGAGTACACAGATTTTGAGGCGATATTCCCGAGGGTGTAGTCGGACGGTGAGTTTTACCTTTGAGCAATCTGGGACTTTCCTCACTCCACGGGGACTTACTATACTCGTCACCAGGTGCCCCGAGCTCAGTGACAGTTTGAATTGGATCAGTTGTGATGCCAACGGTTTCGGGCCGCCATTCTAGTGGGTTAACGTACAAGTTTTACGGAGCCTGCTGGCTTCGCGTTTCAAGCTGGAGCTGCTTTAGTGGATTCACGGTTTAGAGTTATTCTTGTTCTACGAGCACGGCGTGTTTATTTGGCGACTGGATTGTAATTTTGCGAAAAAAATGCGCTGGATCGAGGGTCGATCGGACCCCGACGCTGCCGTCAGTCTCCTAGCAACCTTGTATCTCTAATATGAAGGAAAGGTGAAGAAGAGTATTTTTCCCGAAACTTCATGTACATATTAAGGACAACAACAAATCGCCACATGGTAAGTTTCATTGATTTTTATTTCCATTTTCAAGCAAATTTCCAGACCTAAACTTCGCCCCATATGTTCTCTCTATTTAACAATGTGTACGCGACACAAACAGTGAGCCTGGGTTACCTGTGCCCAATCGGGCAATGTCCTATTTCGTTTCGTGCAGCTGCCTCTGGTCGTAATGAAAACGACTAAACTTCAAATCATTTATAGCATGGACTAGAGATAAAATTCTCCAGAGACGACAGATCAAGAACGCGATAATCATTGCCGCGTGCTATTTTCCTCTGTTCCAAGAAGAGTCTCGCGTTGGCCATGAGGAAGGGGATAAACTCTGGCCGGCCAGGCGCAAATTTCCCGCGCAAATTTCCCACGCAAAATTTCATAACTGAAAACCGCTGTTTCGCAAAATAAGCAAAGGAAAAGTGAAAAGACTACGACGTTTTTACGACTTTTACCGTTAATTTTTATCATCAAATGTATTTCTAAACATTCTCTGATTAGAATTAAAAGTGAAAAGTTCGTGGAAATCTGTAAAATGAAACAAGAATAGGGGAAAGGAAAGCACGAGACTTTTCGAACACAAAGCTTATTCGAGTTCGGGTATTCTGTTGATTGACCATTCTGTTTGGATTTTTACTAACTTGACTTACTGGCTTGTTTGATTGTTTTATAACTCGTGTAAGACAACTTGATTCTAACAGTCTTAAACACAAGGCGCGCTAGATAAGGAAGTCTTCCCTGGGAAGACCTGGGCTCATTTGTCACTCACCGTTGACGTGTGTGGGTCAAATTTAAATGCTGGTAGACGAACAAAAGGAGCTAATGAGATATCTATTGTTTACTTCCACCAGCATGGTGGCATGAGGTAACGTGCGAACCACCTACTTCGATCTCAAATTTACCGCCACAAATAAAGACAGTTTCCATTGGAGAAAGGAAATACAAATCTCAAAAATTCTTGTATTGTGATGAAGACATAAAACAATTTTGAGGAATGCGCCCGCTGTTCACTGCTTTGGAGTAGCTGTAGCTCAAGCTGACTTGACTCTAAGAGTTCTACATCACACGACGGTTGATTGACAAATGGTCCAGTGGGACCTAAGGCTCCTTTTATAGCGCGCCTTCGTGTTTAA